TTCCAAGCCTCATAGGCTTTTCAGTATCAGACTTCAAAGCCTCCTGACAGGAATTATGGGTAGGAAGGTCAGGACTTAAAGGTAGATTTGTTTAATATTATCCTTCATGTGGGAGTGCTCATTTCAGTTGTTAATTCCCTTTGCTGAATTTCACATGCGCAAGAAAGCATGACTATCGGTGTTAGACTCGGGTACCATTTGCTCCATCTGCACACATATGGCTACTGCCATAAAAGACGATGTGGTGGTTTTGGCTGGGACAGAGTTAATTTTCTTCCTAGTAGCTAGTATGGGGCTATGTTTTGGATTTGTGCTGAAAACAATGTCGATGATTCAGGGATGTTTTAGTTACTGCTGAGCAGTGCTTACACAGCGTCAAGGCTTTTTCTGCTTCTCACCCCACCCCACCAGTGAGGAGGCTGGGGGTGCACAGCAAGTTGGGAGGGGACACAGCTGGGACAGCTGAGCCCAACTGACCAAAGGGATATCCCAGACCATATGACGTCATGCTCAGTGTATAGAGCTGGGGGAAGAAGGAGGAAACGGGGGGACATTACGACTGATGTTTGTCTTCCCAAGTCACCGTTATGCATGACAGAGCTCTGCTGTCCTGGAGATGGCTGAGCACCTGCCTGCTGATGGGAAGTAGTGAATGAATTCCTTGTTTTTCTTGGCTTGCACATGGGGCTTTTGCTTTACTTATTAAACAGTCTTCATCTCAGCTCATGAGTTTTCTCATTTCAATTTCCAAATCTCTCCTACATCCCACCAGGGGGGGAGAAACAAGCAGCTGTGGGGAGCTTAGTTTTCATCTGGGGTTAAACCACGACAGACAATAAAAGATGCATCTATAAATACATTAGCAACAAAAGGATGGCTAAGGAGAATCTCTATCCTTTATAAACATAATGACAAAGGATGAGGAAAAGGCTGAGGTACTTAATGCCTTCTTTGCCTCAGTCTTTACTAATAAGACCAGTTGTTCTCCAGGTACTGAGCTCCCTGAGCTGGAAGACAGGGATGGGGAACAGAATGAAGCCCCCATAGTCCAAGAGGAAATGGTTAGTGACCTGCTATACCACTTAAACACACACAAGTCTATGGGGCTGTATAGGATCTTCTCAAGGGTAGAGAGGGAGCTGGCAGAAGTTATCACTAAGCCACTTCCCATTATTTATCAGCTGTCCTGGTTAACTGGGGAGGTCCCAGTTGACTGGAAGTTAGCAAATGTGACACCCACCTACAGAAAGAGACGGAAAGAGGATCCAGGGAACAACAGGCCTGTCAGTCTGACCTCACTGCTGGGGAAGGTTATGGAGCAGACCATCTTGAGTGTCATCACACAGCACAAGACAACCAGCTGATCAGGCCCAGTCAGCATGGGTTTATGAAAAGCATCTCCTCCTTGACTAGGCTGATGTCCTTCTATGACAAGGTGACCCACTTAGTGAAGGAGAGAAAGGCTGTGGATGTTGTCTGCCTAGACATTAGTGAAGCCTTTGACACTGCTTCCCACTGCATTCTCCTGGAGAACCTGGCTGCTCATGGCTTAGACAATACTTTTTGCTGGGTAAAAAAACTGTCTGGATGGCCAGGCCCAAAGAGTGGCGGTGAATGGAGTTAAATCCAGTTGATGGCCATTCACAAGTGGTGTTCCCCAGGGCTCAGTACTGGGGTCACTTCTGTTTAACATCTTCATCAGTGATCAGATGAGGGATTGAGTGTACCCTCAGTAAGTTTGAAAACACCAAGCTGGGTGGAGGTATTGATCTTCTTGAGGACTGGAAGGCTCTACAGAGGGATCTGGACAGGCCAATTGTATGAGGTTCAACAAGGCTGAGTGCCAGGTCCTGAACTTGAGTCACACCACGCCCATGCAATGCTACAGGCCTGGGGAGGAGTGGCTGGAGAGCTGCCAGTCAGAGAGGGACCTGGGGGTGTTGATTGACAGCCGGCTGAACAGGAGCCAGCAGTGTGCCCAGGGGGCCAAGAAGGCCAATGGCATCCTGGCTTGTGTCAGCAATAGCGTGGCCAGCAGGGACAGGGAAGGGATCTGACCCCTGTACTCGGCACTGGTGAGGCTGCACCTCGATTCCTGTGTTCAGTTTTGGGCCCCGCACTACAAAAAGGACATTGAATTACTTGAGCAAAGAAGGGCAACAAAGCTGGTGAAGAGTCTGGAGCACAAGTCATACGAGGAGCGGCTGAGGGAACTGGGGGTGTTTAGTCTGGAGAAGAGGAGGCTGAGGGGAGACCTCATCACCCTCTACAGCTACCTGAGAGGAGCCTGTAGTGAGGTGGGTGTTGGTTTCTTTTCACAGGTAGTAAGTGATAGGATGAGAGGAAACAGCCTCAAGTTGTGCCAGCGGAGGTTTAGATTGGATATTAGGAAAAATTTATTGACTGAAAGGGTTGCCAAGCATTGGAAGAGGCTGCCCAGTAAAGTGGTTGAGTCACCACACCTAGGGGTATTTAAAAGATATGCAGAAGTGGTGCTTAGGGACATGGTTTAGTGGTGGACTTGGCAGTGCTAGGTTAATGGTTGGACTCAATGACCTTAAGGGTCTTTTTCAACCTAAATGATTCTATGATTCTATAAAGTGGTATACACCCTCATACGAATAGAAATTATCCAAGTGCATCACAGGCATGATTTAAAACCTTAATACAGTATACACTTTTGCTTATATTCAGAAAAAAACCTATTTATGTTAGTATTAATTAAAGACAAATTAGAAGAACAGAAAAACAAATCTGACTGAGGAAAACATCTTTATGCATGCCATTTGCTTTGTAATTGTGCACATACCCAATTACCCTTCCATAGAGATGAAACATCAGAAAGGACTCTCAAGTCCTTTTGCTTATTATCTGCTTTAGTATAACACTTTTCCTCTGTAAGCTATCGCATCCAACCTTGTTTTCAATGTTTCAAGCTACTGATTTTTTTTTTTCCTTCCTGGGGAAAACTGTTTAATCTTTTACAGACTGAATGAGAAAATGTTTCCAGATACTTACCCAGCCTTTTTTATTCCTCTGAGTCATCCAATTCTTCCTATGTCTGCTGCTGGACTTCAAAATAGGATTATTATACATGGTTTATAGCCTGCAAACTGGATATAGGATTAGCCATTTTAGCTTGATCCTACCTGATAAACTGTGAAATAGTAGTGGGGGAAGAAACCTTCTTCCAAGTAATAATTTTCCATATAAGTAATGTCTCTAGAAATATTGTTGCCTCAAATAAGGAGAAAATCATATCAATCACTGTGAGTAAGAGGGAGGATGATCCATGCAAAAATACTTTCTTGTTAAAATTTCTTGAAAAGGTCTGAAAATCAGCCTTAGTTGAACAACAAGGAAGAAAATCAAGGAGTGGGGCAAAGATCAGCAAGGCTATCATCATACTTCATTAGCAGGGAACACATGTGCCTTTGTAGCACAGCAAAAAGCAACTTACAGGCAGAAGCTCTTTCAACAAGGGGAAGAAATAAGGAAATCCACCTGCCAAGTTTTAAGAAAACTAGTCACACAGGGCTTTGACCGGCCTGTCAGTGGGAGGCTGAGGTCAGCCTGTGTAGACAGTACAGAAGCAGCTCTGGGAAAAGTTTCTTAAACATCTCAGACAGTGTTAGGTGATTTGCTTTTAGATAGCTGACAAAACTCAGGACTCCTGACAGCCCTACATTCAAAAAAGCAAAAATATTTAGCTTCTACTCTGGAGATTAAAATTAATTTAAGTCTGTCATTAGGAAAGTTATAACCTCAGTCTACTGTGGTAAAAGTCATGTTGAAGGCTCCCTAGCTTCCACCATACACCCTGTATATAGTGCAGCTCATAGACGAGCCACATCAGGTGGGCTCAGAGCACATCACATTCAGACATCTTCATTACCTCCTTCCAGGCCTTTAAAAATGATGCTCAGCAAAACAAACGAAGTTTATTTTAAATCAAACTATACTCAAAGAAAAATAAAGCAAAACCTGCACTTCTGAAGTGCCACCAAAATGGTTCGTAAAAGGACAATGCTTTTTATTAGAGATGCTAACATTAAATGTAAAAATATTTGCTGGACACAGGAATGGGACCAAAATACCTCTATGTCAGAGCAATAGGTTTTCAGGTAGCTAAGACAAGTATCACGTCTCTCACTTGCCTTTGCATGGGAGGACACTCGTTCAAACAGATCAAACCAATCACAGTTCTCAGAAGTGGAGGATAACAACTGGGGTCACAGATGTTTCTTAAATGATATAGAATGACTGAAATCAATGACTACTTGAAACCAAATGACATTGAAAAGATGGATATACTTTTGAGAGCTAGATGAGCTTGTGTAAATTTTTGTCACGTATGAGAAGCTATATAGGCACTGAGATACCTGGCCATTGAATGCAAACTGGATGAAAACACAATATACGTTCTTCACTTCCAGTGTCTGTCAATGAGATAGGAATGGAAACAAATGTATGACATTGTGCTTTAACTGAAAACATAACTGTACTTGCCTCAAAGGAACTCTGTTGCTTACTAAATGTACGAATATCACAACATCTCATGATAAAAGAGGCCAGTTCTGAAAATCTGTATCTTATTACATGGCTGCTGGAAAAGAAAATAGTACAGAAAATAACATTTCTGACAGATAAGAAGCATCTTCAGTTATGAATGTTGTGTCTTGCCTGGTTATTATATTTGCTCTATAGGTTGAGGGGATTGATCAAAAAACTCAGGCAGAACTTTCTGCAGCAACTTAGGAAATAACAAAAGGCACCAACCCACTGTCCACCTCGGCTTCAAGTAACAGTTCTCTAGTGCAGAGCTGGCAGGACAGAAGTGTTTGCTCAGAAATGCAGTGCAAAGCCTGTCATCTGAAGCTGCATTCAGCTTACTGGACTTCAGAACACCTTCAGTCTTGTGGGTGAGTACGTGTATCCCTGGTTCCACAGTAGGACAGGATTGATGTGGTGAGGGAAGGTGGAAGGGAGCAGTGCATTACCTCCCACTGTGCTCTTCTTTCTAGAGAAAGGACATGGGGATGGGAAGGACTGGTGGTGGCCTGCAATATGGACGACTGGAGAACCAGGACTTCGTGTTGGGAATTTCAGCAACAGGTATACTATTGAAAAAGGAACATGAAGAACTTTCACAGTTGTCCCCTGAGAAAAGCAAGAAGATGAACCAGTTTCACTGGTCAGAACCAGAGAAGCTAGATCTAATTATTGCTGCTACCGTGACATGTTAGGGTGTTAAGCAACACAGACAGTTCTGTGGAGTATTTCTCCTTTAAAAAATATTTTTACAGTGACCTTTTCTTCTCTTGGTAAATACAAAATTTAGTTTTGTTTAAGAAAGCTCTAGGTGTCAACTTGTCACTGACTCTGGAAAGGAAGAACTGCAAATGAACAAACTCAACCAGATTTACATGATGGTTAGCAATTGTCATGCATAGATACAGGCAAGTTCTAAAGTATTTGCTCAGACATAAAAAACTTTCATTCTCTGGTATAAATTATTGTCTGTGAAGAAGGCAAAATAGGGAATGTCTATAGAAACATAATAATGTAAATATCTAAATAGGGTAGGAGCAGGGGACATGATACACTATGGGAAAAATGGAGGCTATGGAAGAACAGAATATGAAGAATAGATCATGGTCAATTTTACTCAGTGTCTTGCCTTTTAAACTTCTGTATGGAATTTAAAATTATTTATAATCATACACAGTTGATTGGGTTGAAAGGGTTTAAGGAGAAGAGAGGATTGGGGTCAAAAACTGAGGGAAGACAACTAGTTGAGGGAATGTGTGATCAGAGAAGAAATGTCAAATGTAACAAAGAGCAGACAGAACAAGACATGAGGATTTTGGTGGGATAACACAATGAGTGAGAACAACTCATGGCCACACCAGCTGGGAGTTAGCACCTTTGCGAGGTAGGTCACCTCTGTTTCATGATGTTTAACTTGGATTCTCCAACTTCATGTTCCAAAGATGTGAAAACTTTAAATTTCTTTAATCTTCCTATCCTATAATCCAAAAGACACTTTATCAGACACCTTCCTGTCAAATGAGACATCACGAATCAACAGCATGATCACAAAGGGTAAACCCTAAATCAGATTATCTCAGGCTCCAACGTTCAAGAGGACTTTTAAATTAAAATGTGATTCTCCTTTTATGGCTATTATAGATATAAACATGAAACTATTGCCATATTATTGGATTCTGTGTTAATATATTTTGTAGCTGTGTATAAAATTTGGTTTGACACTAGATCTTATCTAGAATTCAGTCAGACTCAGAATGAAGCAGATCACTTCGCAAGACAACAGCTAACACATTTAAGTCCCTTAGAAATAAAATTAATTTCTAAAGCTTTGAAAGACCAAACTATATACAAGCTAAAAGCAGAATGATGTCCATGTACTGAAAAGTAAAATTTTCATGTGATAATGTGCTTGTAAGAATCAAATTAGGACTTAAAGTAACTGGAGAGAAAGGAAAGAAATTGAATACTATATGAGAAAATATGGACAAAAAGACAAATGATAATTCTATGCTATCTGAACAAACCAATAGGTTGTTCATACAAATAACTTTCTTAAAAATGTTGGTCAATGTTTTCACTTGGAAGTGAACAGTGATGTGAAATGATGGTAAAACCCCCATTAGACACACTTTATTTATTAAAGCTTCTTCCAACATATTGTCACATTGCATCTAATTATCTCTTTTGAGAAAAACTAAAAAGTTCTGGACAAATGGAAATAACAGTACTTGGAATAATAGTGATGAAGAAAGTAGAAAAAAAAAAATCCAGGTATTTTACAAAGATACATGAGATGAGCTGTTTTTAATATCTGAAAAGATTTGGGTGCAATTATCTGTGATAAAATAAAGAAGGTAGATACTGTCTATATGCCATAAAAGCAAAACAAAGAAAACAACAGAAAGTAAAAACACTACCCAAGAGGCCTCTGATTTTTTTTTTTTCAATTTCATGAACGCCCACCTAAAATTTATTCCATTTGTTTTCAAACTGCAGCACAGAAGAAGGCAGATCAAATTTCCAATATTCAGAAGCAGATTTTTGTAATGTAATATGTCTACAACAAGATAGCAAAACTGATTTATGCAGTAGTTTACTAGGAATATCAAACACTTACTAAAGCGAAGAATAAAATGCCACTTTCTTTCCCAAAGTGCAGAGACAAACCTTCAGAAGATGAAAACAATCAAAGATTTGCTCTAATAGAAGTAAACCAATTTCTATTAGCCTGGGACAACTCCTGTAATGTTTTGCATGTCTAGAGAGAGATTAGGTTTATTTTAGGAATTCTCAGAATCATGAATTGATTAAATAAAGGAAAATAAAATTTTCCTGTATGTGATGGAAATAGCAGGAAGGAAAACGTATTCTCTTCACAGATCTCTGGGAAAAAAAAAGGGATGATGTTAAAAAAAAAATCATGTTTAAAACATTTTCTTAGAATTCTCTAGAACATCAACATCTTTCATACAGTACAAGAAAATCTGTGTTTACATTCTAACAAATGTTACATATTTAAAAGGGGATCAGAAAATATTTTTAGATATAAATTCTGATACAGAAAGTGACAAACTTACAAGATAGAAATCATAATGACTTACATATCCTAAAACTAATCACTACCTCACGCCATAAATCTTTATTCACATTGATGACTTTTATTGGGACAATTTGGAAAAGGCTGTGATAATTCCATTGATATACATCTGGAAAAATATACCTAAGCACGACAGAATTATTACAGATGATATAATTCAAATAAAACCAGAAGCTGACTCTATGGTTTTAGAGTTTACCTACTAATATATTAGTTGGTTTTATATTGCATTACAAAGTAAGAATGTTGGGTTTATTATAAATTCGTCATTCCTTCTACTAAAAATTCTATAGAGACAACTAATATTTGATGCAGTTGGATGCAGGCTGTAATAAAGTCCAAGCAAATAACACAGAGGGTTTTTTTTGGCTCCACCACGAATATGCCAGCTTCTTTTTCACTTCTCCTCGAGGCTAAAGGTTTATCCTTCTGCCATCCTTATTATTATGCCCTAGTGTTCAAAAGGTAGAACTGTGCTAAGGGTAACAACACCATCTATTAAGCTCATGGTGTGTGCAGACTGTTACAGACCACCCCGGGGCTTTTTCCTGATACCCACCTGAGCTTGTCCTACTGCAGTGACCTTGGGTTCGCTGCAGTCTTTGGGAGTGCTCTCTCGCTGGAGACCTGTGTGGAAAAACTTCTCATTAAGAATAAAGTTCTGCCATCTGTCAGAAGCCTCATGTAAACAGCTGAACCAAAATGCCTTGTCTTCCCCGGCTCCTGAGTGCTTCCAGTACAAGTCAGGTAATGACTAGTAACAGTCAGAAAGAAATAGGCAAAAGGCCATTGAAAACAGAATAATTTAAAGCCATTTTCACACAGTGCTAAACAAGAAGCAGAAAAGCAGGCAGGTAGAAATAATCTCAGCAGCTTCCCTTTTTCTTGCTTGCTTGATACATGTTTTTGCGTGACTTGGTACCATTTATCAAGCACATGTGCTGTACCACAAATAGTCTGGGAACAATATGCAGCTCCCCAGCTCAGTGTAGCTGATTTCTGTATGAGGCATTTATGCAACTCTTCAGCACAGATCTGTCAACTTCTATAGCACTTTTTTTTTTTTTTTTTTCCAATAGTATAAGCACAATGAATTTACACAATTTAGGGAACATGCCATAGTTTGAGAAATGTAAACGCAGTGCAAACACACTGAGGTGGATGATGGAGCCCTTCAGCGGTAGGCCAAGAGGGCAGGGTTATGTTATGGATAGCAACAAGAAAGGCCAGACAACAAATGGCTTAATAAAATAGCAGGTTTTGTAAGATAGGATAAGAAGAGGAATACAGATAGTGAGTACATCTTACAACACTTCAAATGCTGGGCACCCCCATGTTCATGCAGCATCCAATGGGGCCCAAATGGATTTTCCCAACAGATGCTGTGCAGAGCAGATCCTGTCCATGTAGAGATGCTCTCCCTCTTTTGATCATTTGAGCCACTACTGGATTTTCTCACAAGAAAACAACTGTTTCTAAAGGACATTCAAATGAGGACTTCTTGCTGCACAGTCAAATAAAGGCAAGGCCATGATAGGGGAAAATTCTCTGGCACGGTGTGGGAGCTGCCCACAGACAGCTCTGTGACCATGATGCAGCTGAGGTGACCCCATGGCTGGGAGACCTGTGCAGCCTAGTGCAGCCTGAGGGCTCTGCTGGATGAGCAGCCCAGCACTCACCTGCACCCGCTTGGGGTAATGGCAAGGCAGGTCACTCAGCCCTCCACAGGCAGCCCTCTCCTGGGCAGGAGAGCTGCACTTCAGCCCTTGATCCTCATGCAATCTACCTTTCTCAACCATATTATAAATGACAGATTATCTGAGTAGGCTCTCCAGCTAACAGACAATTCCCTGACAGTCTGTAAGGTTATCTCCATCTAATGCCCACCAACACAGCTCAAGCTGGCATGGGGCAGCAAGCTCCCATGCAGATGCTGCTCACGCTACTGAATAGGCTGCTCAAGCCTTCATATGAGGCCCAGTAGAGCAGTCATGTGCAGGATCACTATCTCCTCAAATAAAATGTCTTCTGTAAGGAGCCCAGGGCAGAGGTTAGGGGGGCAACAGGGAAGGGAATAGGAGAGAGGAACAGGTGACAAGAAGGAAAAAAAGGTTGTAGAAAATAAAGACAGACTAGGGATTCTCTGCAGGGAGAACGCAGAGTAGCAGAGCTAAATAGACTCAGAATTCAATGGCTGTAGAAAATATAATCAGCTCTTAGAGCAACTACGAGAATTATGCAATGGTTTAGGCTGGATGTGATCTTTCAAGATTGCCTGATCCAACTCCTTTTATCAAAAGAAGAGCTACTGGAAGGATAAATTGCAGTCAAGAAAACATTTAATAAAGAAGGTGACAGACAGGAAATAGATGCTGCAGTTTGTACAGCAATTTGTGCAGAAGGGCACAGAGCGACACTGCTCTGAACAGCATCCATGTCCTCAGCAATGGTGGTGATGCACTGCAGGGCACAGTCCCCAGAAGGCACTGCAGCAATTTCCAGAACCGCAGTATGGCTGAGTTTGGAAAGGACCTCAGGAGCTCATGTTTGGAAGGGACCTCTGGAGGTAATATGGTCCAACGCCCCTGCTCAAGCATGGCCAGAGGCATTGGCCCAGACAGAGCTCCAGGAGGATGCAGGTCTCCATGTCTTGGGCTGTAGGGAGTGTCTAGGGCCTCTCGTTGAGGCCGGGGCATCAGGAGATGGTCTTTTAGCCTGTAAGAGATGTGTGCTCACCCAGAATCTGTGTCACCACGTTAAGGACCTGCATGAGGTCAGCAGACTGCAGCATCAGAGATGATGAGAAAGAGAGGGACTGGATCTTCTCTGAGACCCTGCAGCTTCAAGAGATAGAGACTGGAAGAGAGTGGGTGGATGCATGTTTCTCCATCTGTAGAATACGCTCTGAAGCAAAAGAAAAGAACTGCTGTTGCGGATTACATGGAGCATGGATTTTTTGGATGGAAGAAATGGGAGAGCTGGCAAAGGAATGATGAAGAATGGTGCAATTTACCTTGACAGTATTCCTTGGTGAAATGACAATTTTTCATGTACTCAAAATGAGGCAAAAAATTCACTCTAGCCTTGTGCAAATTTAGTTTTGTTGACAGTTTATGTGGCATGAAAGGTAAACATCTACTAAGTATTATTATTGCTGACTGTGCAGAAGGTTGCTTCTCATGAGTAAATCTCAGTGCACGCTGTAGTTTTTTAGGTACATGCCCCTTTGGCTTGGTTTGTTCGTGCAAAGCTACTAGCAGAATATCCTGCAAGGCTCACTAGTGCAGAGATGCTTTTGCCTTCAGTCTCTAGACATCTCTGCTTCAGTATTTTACTTCTTTAAATGGATATATTTGTGACTAGAAATGTAAAGAAAAATGAAACAAAATAACTTGACTCTAAAAGCATCAGCATATGAGAGTTAGAACTCGGGTGCTTGGAAAAGCCAACTTGAGTTATGTTGTCTGTGATTGTCGAAGTGATTAAACTGATGCAGTTTCTGCTGTTTCTGTAAAACATTCTTTCATATTTTCACGATTTCATGGTGTTTTCCTGATGAAAATTAATTTTCATCTTTCCTATTTCACCCAGTGAGTCAAATCAGCTGTCACAGATTAAGCTAAACAGTGTAGGCATGGATCCTCGGAAGCATTTTAGGCAACTGAATAGAAACTGGGTTCCTAAGTTTGGTGATCTGAATCTTGGCCTTAACATTTCCCTTCACCTCTTCAGCAGTTACTTTGACAAACCAGGCAGGTTTCACCTCATTTGGTGGTAACAGAATGAGATGCCTTGCTGGTGGCATTCTACATTTAGGATGTAGGAAGCAAGAATGATAAAATAATGAAATAGATATTTGTTTAATTACTATTTCTGATATTCTGGGATCTGTTGTGTGGCTTTTTGTTGTTTAGTTATTTTAGTTGCTTTAGCTGCATATTTTCATATGTGAAAAATATCTGTGTCATCTTGTAAATAAAGTAATTTTGCATAATAAAAAGAACAACATTGATATGGAATTTATTGATGGATGTCTTATTATATTAATTACCAGAATATTTACTCAATGTCCAAAGAATATGTTTTTATAAATTATTTTTATGCATAAGAGGGAGGTTGAATTTCAGCTTTAGCTGAAAAATAAAACTCACTACCTTAAATCTGAAGATGTATCAAAAATTCCCGTTCAGTGCAATTTCTTCTATCTAGTATACTTTATCTGATTTACCATTGGGATTTTTTGTCCTCATGTTCAGTCACTATTTTTCTCTTCTAAATGTGTTTCCCATCAACTATTATTCAGTCTTATAGCTCTGTAAGAAACACCTTTTAACAGTGTTTTCTACATGCTAGTGTGGTATGAAGTCTGCTTCTGAACCACTTACTTAAACTGAGAGACACTAAATAGAAAGCACTTTTTCTGTGGGATGCAGGGATGTAGCCTGGGCAGACACTGTGGACAACAGAGGTGAAAATACCTGGCGCCTGCGATTCCAGCTCTGACTTGAGTGGCACGGGGCACTTTGTGGCCACTGCAGCAGGACAGGTTCAAGCCTTTCTTATAACCTCATCTACAACAGGTGGAACAGCATTTCATTAAATTCTCCAAATAAATTGTCATTTGCTATAGAAACTTTGTACACCAATATACACCAATATTCACATTTAAAAAAAAAAAGTAATTAAAAAGTAAACTGTATTTTGACAGAAATTGGAGAGTTTTTCATTACCTTTCTTAGCAAACAAAGTTTTACTCAACACCAGCAGGCTGCTGTATGAGCATTGGATACCCTGTGCCCTAGTCCCCTTTCCCCTACAGCTCTGAGACTCAGCAGACATTTGTCTCTGCACACTTAGCACCGGGAATGGGGATTTTCTCATACAAACCTATGATGTTGTTTGTATTTCCTCCTAACTGAAACCCATGACAGCTCCAGAGCGGCAGGCTAGAAGGTTATAACTTTTTGTAACTGTTCTCACCAAGTTACTGGGTGTAAGACAGTGACAAGCAGCAAGAAGGACTGACATTACCATACAGATAAAAAAGTCTGCCAGCTCCTGGTGTCAGTAACTGGAGCCCTGATTCAACACCTCATCAAATGCTGGGAATCTCTTTGACCCCCAAAGGCTTTGGATCAGGCTTATCCTTCCGGAAATTACTAAATATCACATAACTTGTGCTACAGAGCTTCAGTATCAAATCCATTGTAAATTTATGTATAGTGGATGTAGTTGCATGCAAACACATATGTGTGTGTACAAATAAAATGACTCATTGATATTAATTCAATACATTTATTTTTAAATGACCATGAAGACGTCTCAGGAAAATATTGGAGTTTATTTTTGTGAGATATTCTTCTTCAGTGTGAAACAATATCCTATCCAACTCATACAAGAACTGCTAGAACTGCTGCTAATACAGATATTAAGCTTAAAATATGAATTTAACTATTCAAGATTACATTTCCAAGTACTCGTGTGTGCGTGTTTGTGTATACCCTCTGGAATGCATGCCTATTATCATGTCTCAGTTTAGAGCTTTTGCTTCAAAAACATAATGCATAATCAGTTTGATTATGTGACAAGCTGTTTCATCTTTTTTTTTTTTTTTTTTTTTTTTTTCCCCAAGCAATTTTCTAGGTCATGTTTGCATTAGATCTTCTCTAAAAAAAAAAAAAAAAAAAAAAAAAAAAAAAAAAAAAA